TTGGTTTGGACTAAAGATGCCAGAAATTAATATTAATGATAGTTTATCAAAAGCTGCTCCGTTGACATCAGTGAACCCAACTAATTATAGATGGCCCCTACTTTCTCTGACTAAATCTGATGAATGTGATGTCAAGAGATTTATCAATTTATTTTTGTCCTGACCTGACACAGTTCCTGTAGAAAGGTCATCACTGTGAAGTTGCAGGATTTGGTTTCTAGGTACACAGAGATTTTTTTCCAGTAAGTCTTTCGACAACTGGATGAAAGATTTCCAACCTTTCAGTAACCAGATGAGGCATCTCTCTGTAAGGGTCAAGCTTTTTCCATTAACAAATACCAGCTGCTGGTGCTTTTCATTTACATGGCTGGCACTTGTAAATTTCTTAACCCCCAAGGTTCCTAGCTTCAGAGTTCTAAGTAAATACTAAACATGCTCTTAAATACCTAAAGATTTGCTTTTTAATTTTGAGCTTGAGGTCATTTCTATAGTTGATTATGTGGTATGTGGTATGTGGTGGTTTTAATAGGAAATGTGCCAGGCATTTGGACACTTAAACCCCAGTTGGTACCACTGGAGGAGTTTTCGGGAAAGTGTTGTCACTGGAGGTGCAGTTTAAAAGTTTAAAGTCACTTCTAGAACAGTCTGTTCTGCCTGTTGTAATCTCTCAGCTTCCTGTTCCTGCCACCATGCCTGCCTATAGCTGCTTTGCTGTCTCTGGAACTGTAAGCCAAAATAAACTCTTATAAGCTCACTGAGTCATGGTGTTTTGTCAGACTCACAGGATAGAAATTAATAGGAGATCCAAGTGTACTCTGGATGAAGAGCTTTGTATTGACACCATGTTATCTTGTCTCTGTGTTGAGGTGACATCTCAGGCTGTGCCAAGTGGGTGACTAGGTCATTATCCCCTGAAAATTTGAATTGCTCTGGACTCCATTTGGAAACCTGGTCCATCTCACCTTTGGGCCATGAAGAGGAAGATGCACGTACACTGCTCACATGTTTCCTATTACTCTAGCTCTCCATCCTAATAGGGAAAAGCTATCCATTCTCTAGGTGTGCTAGTCACTGTGAAGTGTGAAGATAAGAGATGCTCTCTAGGGTGATCTGGGAAGACAAAAGGAACACAGCATGGCAGGGAGGACCACTCTCCAATGGCTTTCTCACCCCAGCTTTCTCCTTTCCATCCAAGAGGCCACCTAGCATCTCAAGCTCCAGTACATCCTGTGAGGAAAACCCCTGAGTAAACCATAGCTCCAAGGAGACACATCTTGAGTCCACTTTTCCTCTTACAGCCACATGACTCCTATTTCACCATCCTAGCATCACTAAGACTTCTCAGGAGTTAGATGAACTGCTTTATTCCCTCCTCTCATTGTGCTGTCTGTCTATCCACATCTTGCCCAAGTCTCTCAGCTGAAACACAGGTCTCATTAACTCCTGTGTGGACCCTTACTTGCTCATCTTAACCTCTCTTGGTGTCATCTGGTCATTTTAACGAACTCTGTTACAATATCTTATTGTGTGAACTCTGTTGAAACAGCACATTTCTGGGCCAAGTTGTTGACTTACCTTCTCTCACTAAAGCCTTAGTGGTGTGAGATGCTGTTTGGATCTAGGGTACAGTCAACCCAGCTCCCTCCCTCCACAATAGGACTCTGGGAGCACATTCTCCATGGAGGGATACTCCCTTAATCTAGGGGCAGGAGGGAGGGCCTAGTTCATACTCCAAATGACTTGACAGATTTTGTTGACCCCCTCCTGTATAGAGTATTAATATTGGTAAGCTGAAACATATGATTAGTATTTTACATGTGGGGGAAATCCCTTGAATTCATGTCTGCAAATATAAACTACTTGTGATTTCTTTACATTTTAAAAGGTTTTTGAATGTTTAAAATAGGAAAGTTGAACTCCTTATTAAATATTCAGGTCAAGTTATATTTACACATATAAGGAAAAAAACAGGGCTGAAAAAGATTTGGTATATCCCTCCTCGTATCCCTCAGTATGTGTTTACTGGATTTTTTCCACTGATATTGATTTCATGTGTTAAAATACAATAATTTACTTTAATTGTAAGGAGAAATGAAAGCACTTGGGAATAGCTACAGTGTGACATTAATGAAGTTCAGAAGAGGCTAAGTATTATTTTTAGTAAGGATTTAAAACAATGTTTCCTAAGAGCAATAGAACCATAGATGTAGCATATGTACCCTGAAGTATAGCTGGTGCTCACAGAAACTGTAGCAGGGGGTTTCTTTGCAACAGTGCCAATATCAGAGTAATGCCATAGGAACTAAGCCCATACTGCAAAGCCAAAGGTCTGAGGCATGTTTTGCCTTCGAAGAAACCAAGATTAGAGAAGTCATTGCCAACCTCCTTCACTGCATTGGAGACAAGCCTGCCTTACAGACTGAGTTCCAGGACATCCAGAACTATTACAGAAAGAAACCCTGTCTTAAGCAAAAATAAAAATAAATAAATAAATAAAATAAAGAGAGAGAAACAAACAACCTAACTAACTAACTAACTTCTTGTATGAACTGGTTGCAAATTGAAAGTGAGAGTGTTTACAATTAGTAAAGTCAAATGTTGCCATTTGGCTTGCAGAATGGTAATGAGAAGGTAGGTGATAGTCTGCCTACATCAAGTCAGGCTTTCCAAGGGATGAGAAGTCAGCTAGTAGATGTGACCAAGCTTTATATTTTTAAGTATTGCTTTATATATTATACTACTGTTTTCATTATTATTTTCTGGAGCTGTTGATAAACTGTCATCAAATTTGTTTAACCTGTCAAATATACCTACTCATCACAAATCTTTTTTCCCCCTCTCTCAACTGAAAAATACCCCTCTGCTTGGATAAATATTTTTTTCTGTTTAATTAAGCAATAATATGTTAGTCATTTGATAGATTGAAATGAACACACATGTCAGTTCTCCACTACCCATTCCATATTGGAACACTGAACTCAGCCAGTCAGGGCAGGTGGAAAGTGTTAAGTCCTGTTTGTTTACTGTGAGTACAGGGAACAAGCTGCTAGTGTCTTATTAATCATGGTTTCTGTTTTGTATCTAGTTGGTGCTCTAAAAGTAGATATGGAGGAATGCTACAAAATGAAGCATTTATCAGTTTGTATTACCTGGAATATGACTGCATAGTTGAAACAATTTATGAAAAAAGGGAGGAAGTGTCAGGCAGTTTTAAAGACAATGTAGGTTTAAATTGGTACAATTAGAAAGAGGAGTTACAGTGTGGAATGATGGGATTGAGTCTGTTTGTGTGGATAGAGAAAGGGTACTGCCTGATAGTGAAAGGGCTGGAATTTGGGTTTGATTGACCCAGTTTATGAGAAAGGAAAAACAAAATGTCCTGAAAGTTCCAAACTATACAATTAGAGTTAATTGTCTTTATACCTTTTGTTTGCACTGAAGGAATGTAATTGTAAAGGATTTTATATCAAGAGACACAATAATAGCAGTCCTTAATTGATCCAATAAAGGTATATTTCATAATTAATTCCATTTCCTTCTTTGAATGAGAAAATCCATAGATAGGATTGAACACTAATTTGCATTCTAATATTCAATTTCTCTTCATGCCCTCATTCTCCTTAGAGGGTCTGATCTTTTGATAAGAGATGACAATTGGCTCTAAGCAGGTAACAATTTTAGTTGCAGTGAAATAGAAAATCTCATTACCAAGGCTCAGATCCCTGGAGGTATGATACTGGAGTTGATAAGGCCATGAGAAACAATTTTTAAAAAAATCTATGCAATCTCTTGCACTTTGGGAAATTTAACTAATTGGTTTTCATCTGTTGCTTAATATGTTTCACTGAGGATGATTTCTAACTGAAAGAATTTTCTATAGTATGTCATAGCCATTTTAGCTCTTTCATAAATTTGTGTTGTCTTATAGTTAATCTCTGGTGGCCTCCTTGTGTCAGAGCAGAAATGACTAGTAAGTGTTTAAGTTATGATAAAAAGTCAAACAAATTGCATCAAAGTTTGCTTCACATAATTTAGTCATTTATTACCACATCAGTACACATTAGACAATACCAGATGTTGTCTCCTTTTAATCTATCTTGTGATCATTATGGAGCTTTGTTTTGTTTTTGTTATTGGGTTTAAGTGATTGTATGATAAAACTTCATGGGCAGCACAACAAAACAAACAGAAACAATGTATTTCCCCTTGGCTACCAAAGAAGTCCCTTAAACTGTCAATTTAGTCATGATTCATTATTTAGAAATAATAGCAAAATGTCATATAGTTAGTAATTAGTTAACAGTAAAATAGAAAAATACGGCTGCCTATTCTCTTCTAAATAAAGAGCAGATGACTAATACATATAAAAAATATGTCAGATTTTTGTGTCGGTGACTTCTTTGTTTCATTGATTGAATAGTAGAGAGACTATTTTTAACCCATTTCTACCCTGGGCAACCATCATTTCATTTTGAAAGGAGAAATGTTATTGTTTCTTGGGAATAACATTTTCTAAATAACAGTATTATTCTTGGGGATTCTTAACTGTTTCTCTGGCCACATTAGCTCACAACATTTACACCCCCTTTGCTTCTGTACAAGCTAATGGTATACACTGTTCAAAAAACTGTTCTTTGCTTTTTCACTGACTTGTGCACATTTGCTTGAAGACTGTGTTGCTTAAGGACAAGTGAGAAATCTTCTGACTATGAGATAACTTGTATAGTAATCTTATGCTACTGCTTCATGCAGTTAGTAAAATTAATTCTAAAATATTTGTTTTGGTTTTGTTTTGTTTTGTTTTATTATTATTGTTATTATATAGAAAGCTGGGGCTTGGACAGTGTTTGTAACTTTTTATTTATTTCTCCTTGGAAAAGTCTTGGTGGAATTGCATATTTGTCTCAAGGAAGCCAAGCCAGTTCTCCTGAGGAAAAATGCCTCTTTCTGTTGCTACTTATTAATACTTACCAGCCTCTTCTCTGTCTTCCTTCATTTAGTCAGCAGTCACCAGAGGACCTTGCACGTGTGCCCCCCAACTCCACCAGCAACATCTTGAACAGGCTGCTGGTCAGCTATGATCCCAGGATAAGACCAAACTTCAAAGGTTTGTTATCTCTGCACCCCCCTACCCCCTTCAGTCTTTATAGTTTAAAACTTAATTCTACCTATGTAATACTGGGTTTCTAATGTACAGAAGAATAGGATTTCAAGTTAACATTTAGCTGTTCAGAGATATTTAATGCTTAAAATAATCTTTGTTATTAAGAAAAATATTCATTCTAATAGTTTTATATAGTTACCAGTTAAAAAAGTGAAAAAGCATATTCTGTGAATTAATAGCCTGATCCCTGAGATGGATTTCTTAAGTACTGTGTGTCCCTAATCTTAGTGATTTAGAGTTTAGGTTCTGGACATTGATGTGGTGTTCGTTAATAGACATAACAGTTAATAATTCGTACAACAACCACTTACTCAGGGAAAATGAACAGTTCTGATTGTAAGATCTTTACCAGTATATCATATTTATTAAAAGGACTTATTTTGCTGTAAGATGGACAACTTGTTTTTATAAAAATATTAACTTTATGAGTAAAGTTTTCTAGAACAAAATTTATTATTTCAGCAAGATATTACAACTTCTCACAGTTTGTAAGGGAAAAAAATGTGCTTAAAATGAAAAAGCTTCATGATCCTATTGCATTTTGTTAAAAAGCTTTTTTCAAAAAAAATATATATATCATCTTGATAAATTCAGAAACTCTGCGTGAAACATGTCCTCTGGAAGACGGTAATCCTTACTGGGAAAGGCTAGACATTAATGCACATCAGATTAGCATTATAAGGCTTGATATTTTTCCCCCTTTGCAGGAAAAAAAAATGTCTGCAGCTGCTTCTAGTCAACTAGCATTCTACAGTTATGTTGTAAAAACAGGGATTTTGTTCATTACCGGGGCCTATTCAGTCATTCTCCATAGCAGCCACAGTCTGGGTTGTCACATGCCTACCATGAATTGATTCACACCTGTTTCTCATCAGCAGTGCTTATGAGGCTAAAGGCTAAATTCACATGTTCCCTTTGATAGGTACAATGAGGTAGAAAAAGAAAGAAAATTGCAACATTATACCTTGGTTCTCACTCCATGAACTTTCAAATTATTTTCTAACAGGTCACACAGAAATCTTTATAATGACTCCATTATAAGTCTGATTAGCTTTGTGCTTTTGTGAAATAAAATTGAAATATAGTAATTATTAGTAAAATTCTTGAATACTGTTACAGTAATTAAAGATTTGAAATGATTAGAAAATGTAAAATATCTACTTTAAAAGTGAATTTTACAGAACAGTTTAGTAAGTAGACCAATTAAATTATGCAGTTCACAGTTAGAATGTATATTCCATAGTTTATGCAACTTAAAAGAAAAATATTTTGAATAATGCATAGCAATAAATATAACTGAAATTGTTTTTTATAATAATTTATATTCAGAAAATGAAATCAATAGCAATTGTGAACATTGTAACATACATTAAGAATAAAGATCTTTGCATGTGAATGTGCAGTTCAAAATATGAACATTAAATATGTATACCATATTATAACATCTCCCATCAAGGCTTTTGCAGCTGCTAAATTTTTCTTTAATTTTTATTCATAGGCATTCCTGTTGATGTAGTAGTCAACATTTTTATTAATAGTTTTGGATCCATTCAAGAAACAACCATGGTAAGATGATAATTTCACATTTATAATTCCAAAACCCAGACACAGGACAGTGTAAACCATTAAAATTGGAAAATAAGAAGGGACTGTGAAGAAAACTGCATGCCATGTAGCATGGAAAATTACAAATTCCCAAGTTGTGCTAAGCAAGAGCTTTCAACACCTATGTGATTTTGCAATTCAAATTCAGCCTTGAAACTTTCAGGCCTAGGGAATATGTAATCATTCTAAAGATTGTATGCTCTCTGGGGAAAGGATTTTGTACCTAAACACTCCTCTCCCCTCCCACTCCCTTTATCCCTTCCTTTTCTTTCCCCTCCCCCTTTCTTTCCCTCTCCTCTCCCCCTATTGCTCCCTCTGCCTCTTCCCTCCCTCTTCCTCCCTCTTCTCTTCTTCCTCCCTCTTCTCTACTTTTTCCTTCCTCCCCCCCCCCCCCCCCCCCCCCCGTTCCTTTCACTTCTCCTGTCCCTCTCTGGGTGTGCACATGCATTTGCCTGTGGACTTCTCAGTTATTCTTCCCCTTATTTTTTGAGACAGGCTTTCTACTGAACCTGAAGCCCACTGATTCAGCTCTATTGGCTGCCCAGCAAGCCCCACTCATCCTTCTATGTCCACCTCCCAGCACTGTGATTACAGATATGGACCACTGTGTCTGGCTTTTTATGTGGGTTTTCCAGGATCTGAATTCAAGCTCTTGCTTTCATGGCAAACACTTCATAGCCATCTCCCTAATCCCCAAGAAGCTATTCAAAAAAGACCACATTGAGCCATTCTCAAGTCTATATGAAGTAATGAAAACTCTTAGGAAACATTCTTCCCTTTTAGTTTTTAGATGTATGAATTTTCAGATAATGTTTTAAGTTTCTGGGATACTTGTTTTCTCTTTATGATAATTTTGAGGGTATTAGAATGATAATAGGGCAGAATTGATTTTCACAAAACATACCTGAAATTCCTGGCAGAGTAACAAGTGTAGAGAAGGATAAAGAGGGAACAGTGCCTGTGATCTTCAAGAAAACAGAAATTTGTAGATTATTTGAACTATGAACATTATAATTGATGACCCATGTACATGTCTTCAAAAGTCCTTCAAAAAAATCTGCTATGTGTTTATAGTTTTAGATGAGCAGATAATCAAGTGGCATCTTCCCTTCTTGAAAACCAAACTACTGAAATATAAATGGGAGAAAATAAACATTTTCCTTTGTTTTGTATTATTGTTTTATTTTTTGATATATCCATTTCTTTAAGTGATGCTACCAGGTTTGATTGTAATAGTATTAGAACTACTACAATATTGTATCATCTTCCAGAATATCTCAGGCTACAAAAAGAATGATATAAAGTAGTCACTCCTATTTTTAGCTGCAGAGCTATTTTATTTTTGTATAGTAGAAAAACCGTGTGCTGTGCATACTTTCTGTCAGTTATAGTAACAATTGTGATGGATTTTTGTTGTCGTATTAAGTGTATATTTTAGCATATATAAGCTCCTGAGAAGTTGGTAGTCGTGGTCATGACTATCTACAATGAGAGAGAGAGAGAACTACTTAAAAAATTCAGGATTCAATCCATGTCTCACACTTAAATGGCATAGATACACATTGTAGATCACTAAAGCAATGTTTTATCCTGCTCTGAAATATACTGTCATTTGTCATTTAGGTGAAAGGTGAAATGCTCCTTCATTTAAAAGATGTTTCACCTACACAAGCTCTTCATTTTGTAAGAGTAAGAGATGGTTTTTGGAAATGAAAATTTGAGGATTCCTTTTAATCTATTTAGTCTCTGCACTCCACTGCTGTACTTTAGTGTTCTTGGCCTCTGGAGCTAATTCTAAAATACTGCTCTCAAGAGTTTACCTTCTCTTGGAAATATCCTGACTCTTCATGTTGCTTATCTTGTCTCCAAAAACAGGTCTATAATGTCTGGGAGGAGATAATTAAATGATTTTTTTCTTCATCATTCATTTTTTTATGTGCCATCACTCAATAAATGACATAACCCAAATGTTTGACTCTGAGCCACATTTATCAAGTGGCTTTTTTCTATTATGTCAAGAAGGAACGGTTCTGCTCTGACTAATTTCTGTAGTACTTTTTGTGGGAAAAAAAAGTAAGAGCACTCAAAGCAATGAGAAGATTGTCTAGGGAACATCGGCTCTATAGTTACACTCCTAATAGTTATTGATTTTTCTGTTTGTTCCCTACTGTTTGCTTAAAACAGTGGGTTTTCTTAAATGAAAAGTGAACCATTGCTTACTGTGGAAAATTGAGTATCACAGTTGATTGTAATAGTCTACACATGAGCACTCTTGTCTCATCGGAAACATACAAGAGCTCCAACATGGAAATAAAAGTCTGTTTATGCAATCCATTTTCTTTCTTTGGGCCTTCTTTGTAATTATATTGAATTATTGCTATGCTGCTACAAATCATGATCCTGTCAAGCTTTCTATGCCATTCTGCTGCATGACTTTCCGTTGCTTTAATAATAGACTTCAAATCATCCTGGGCAACACAGCTGTGCTTGTCAAGAAAGGGAAAATCATGTTTGGGATCGGCTTAAAGAGCTTATTTCTAATTCCTTCCAACTGCTCATCTTTGTTATTTGATTTTATCTTTTCTTGTATATATAGATTTTAAATCTATTTTAAGTCCATTCTTTAAAATCCATTTCACTCTACTATTCATTTTGCTATTGCTTTTCCAGCATAGTTTTATTTTTTAAAATTATTAGACACAGTTGTTTCGATTTTTCTTTAATGTTCATCTTGATCAATTCTATGTTTCACCTTAGGTATAAAGTCAGAAGTGATAAAAATAGTTTTCCTATTTCTTTCTTTTTAAAGCAAAGCTGTCTCTCCCCTCCTCTCATTTTCTCTCTCTCTCTCTCTCTCTCTGTATGTTCATGTGTATGTGTGTGTGTGTGTGTGTGTGTGTGTGTGTGTGTGTGTAAGTGTGTGTATACTACAGAATGTCTTTGGAGGCCAGAGGAAATTGTGAGGCAATTGGCTTTTTTCTTTGACCTTGTGGTTTCTGGGGATCAAACTTAGGTCAACAGACTTAGCAAGCAGCAAGTGACTTTGTCTGCTGAACTATATCTCCAGCCCCTTGTTTCTTTTCATATTCTGAATCTTCAAAGTTTTCCCTTGGCAAACTAATGCTGCCCATATCCTATTCACAAAAAAGAGAATATGATGCTGATCATGGAAAAGGAGTTATTGCAGATAATGTTAAATTCATGATCTTAAAATGAGTGGGCAGGTTCATTGTTGTGGTCCACTGGAACCCATGAGAGACCTAATGAGAGACAGGAAGATCAGAGATATTAATCAGAAGTGTAATAGAGGAAACATGGATTAGAATGCCATATAGGAGAGCCATGACTTAAGAAATACAGGGAACTACAAGAAGGTTAATGAAGGGGGAAGGAATTATGACCCCAGCTCCTCTGAATGAACAAGCTCTGTAGACAAAAACTAGAGTTTCCCTCTGGTTATTTTGGTCTTCTAAGATATTGAACTTATAATATTTTGTTCCACTATATTTGATCATTTTGTTATGACAGCAAATAGGACACTTACATGTATGTTTCTGTATGTTTGTAAATAATACTTTCATAGGCCCAAATTCTCTGGAGGAATACGTGTTTAAATGAAACTTATTCCTTGTCCTGCTAGATGTCCAATGATGTCTGACTTTCTATGTGCCAAGTATCTCACTTGATTTATACTGAGTAATTTCTAAAATATCTCTTTAAAGTAAATCCTACTAAGAAGTTGAAAGGGGATCTATTTAAAGATAAATCTTTGAAATTATAGTATCTCTTTGGCAAAGTTACTCTTTTAGTATAAAAAGGTTGAAAGAATAAATTTGGTTTTTATGGGTACTTTCTTCTTTGCCTTTTCTTCACAACTATACCATTTATCATTACTGATTAAACTCCATAGGCCATGGCACTGAATGGTTTAGGAAGAAGGAGAACATTTAAGTTTGGTTTTCTCTTTCTAGTAACTCATCATTGTCAATGCATAGGATGGAAATTAAAGTTTGACACTTAGAACATGTTAAATGTAGAACCTGTCAGACAATCACAGGCTTCACACAGTCCCACCAGATTTCTGCTTGCCATCTTCCTGCTCTTTGGTTCCATCCAAAACTCATAGGTATAAACTAAACACCAGTGTAATAGCATCACGAGGTGGGGCTTTTGGGAGTTGAAAGGAACATAAAGTGGAGAGCTCAATAATGGAATTCATGCCCAGTGAAGAGTACCAGAGGGAGCTTGTTTTCCCATTCCAGTTTATGAATTGGACAAATCAAGAAGTTCCTTTGAGGAACAGACCTGCATCTGACTTCCAAGCTCAGAACTGTGAGCTTCTATTGTTTAGAAATCGCATAAAGTGTCATGTTCTTACAGTAGGAATGGATGAAGATGCTAATCTCATTGGATTAATAGTCTGATGTCACTTAGTTTTAGTGAAGAATTACAAATACAAATAGGCAATTGGTGTAGGTCTGGAAAATTATAAATGCCAATAAAATAGTGTTCAATATAACTTATTAAAAACTTAAAAATCACTGAAATATGAATTAAGAGCTTTTAATTAGTATTTTCATAACCCAATAACTCTCATGGGAAATTTCTAGCCTCACAAAAATCTATATTTGGCATTTTTGTGGGCCATGTTTCTAAGCAATTATTGACAGAACCTTAATTATAGTGCTGCCAGATGCTACAAGAGTTGGTCTTTTTATTCCCTTACATACTAATTTTAATTTTTTTATCAGAATGTAAAGAAAGAAAATGAGTTAATTACTTATATAGGAACCAGGTAAAGTGAATCACAGAAGAATTTGCTTAATAATTTTATGAAATAAAGATAAATAGTTCTTACTACTAAAGTAAAATTAATGAAACATAATTTGTTTTAGTGTCTCATTGTGAAATGTATTGCCTTAGAGAAACAGTTTAATTTGAATGTTAATTGGTACTGAAAA